TGCCCGCTTCAGGAGGAAGCAAAATGAGTCGGTTCTCTGCCGCATCGGGGTTGGTGAAAAGGATTATGTTGTAAAGGCCTCTCCGCCTAGCTATGGGAGCTAAAGGAGAGACACTTAGTTACTGCAATACTCGGAGGGTGCCTCGGAGGAGTGGACGTAGGTCACGGTTTGACCGAACCACTATAAATCCGGTGTGTTCTTTCTTTGTTTCTACTTACGCATTTAATTTCCGCACTTGTTATTTTGTGGTGAATTGTTTTAGTTTTAGTTTTGTGTTTTGATCGTAAAAAGTTTTAAAAAATACCAATTCACCCCCCCCCCCCCCCCCTCTTGGTTAGCCTCAGGACTAGTTCATAAGGGCTAACATCCCTAACGAACTTTCAGTCCTTATTTTAGTAGTGCCCACTGAAGAAAATTTTATTGACTCCATCACCACATCCAAAAATGTAGGGGAACACAACTTGGTTAGGAGGCCTACAAGAGAGAGCAAGGGATGAGTCAAAGCCTATCTTCTTTTGCTTTAAAAAAAGAGGAAGGTTAGGAGGGGTAGAGAAACAATATATATATTATCATCATCGTCAATCACCTTATCTCAACTATTTAAGTTTGGCTTTATGAATCGTTATTATCCATTCATTCCCATCAAGTATCGCATGAAGTTTTAAATCTATTTTTGAGTAAAACTATTATTAAACATCAAAATATTTCATTGGATCCTAAAATGGCACAAGCAAATGTGAAAGAATGGCTAAACACATATGAAGGACCAACTAAAACTCATCAAAGTCTACTAAAGAAGAAGAACTCCAAATAGCCAAAATTGTAATATAAAGTAGTCTACAAATAGAAATGACCTTCTTTATTAGATTTAGACGAGAATTTGAGACTCTTAACAAGACACGATGGAGAAAAAAGGATTCGTGTAGCCAACCCCACATAGTGGGATAAAGGATTGTTGTTGTTATTGTAGTACTAAGGTAGACCACGTCTATCTATTTTATTTTTAAGGTATGTATTAGGTAGATTATATCTATCTTGTAAATCTTGATTACCTAAGTAGTATAAATAGCCCCTATTATAACCAAATAGCATGAATGCAAATATCTAATTTCCTCTCTTTCTTTCCCTATCTTCTATTTTCCTCTTGGGACATCTACTTTAAAGATGCCTCCACTTATTGGCCTTCAAGAAGCCTATCAATGGTGCTCTTGTTGCACTAACCTCATGTCATTGCAAGAGGTTCTTCTCTCAATAGTTCTTTCCTTTCCCACGGGTCCAGCACTCAAGTTCTTCCACCTACTGCCTCTCGTTCACTTCATCCAACCATGTTTCCATCCATACCACAATCCCTCTGAACTTCCCCATCTAAGCCTCCAAGAACTGATCTGGACAGGACTTTCAGTGTCATTACCCAGCCCGGAGGCTCCAATTAATGAGACGGGAACAAACGGTCGGACAATGAATACATTTTCTTTCTATAGCATAAAATTGTTAAAAACTAACATTCCACAAATAACTTAAGAGCTACTAAAACAAATTTTCAAATTGAACGCATACATAAAACCAATTCTTTCTTATCTTCATTTTATCTCCTTTTTCTATAGACGAATTCTTCTCTTTCAGCCATTTATTTCTCATAATATTTATATGAATTTTAAATTTAACAGTGGTTTCCATAATAAACTCAGTGGATAACCACTGTTTATAATAAAGCAGCTAAACATACATAAAATCAATCATGTTTCTTTGACTTTCTTATACAGTTAACATTTAAATAACATTCATATATTGTAGATTCTTATTCTATGCCTTTCAAATAAATTATTTATTTCTATTTCATTTATTACTTTTCCATTTTCATATTCATTTTCCCTTTTTTTAATTAAAAAAATTTTTTAAATTTTATATTTAAAAATT